AGTGTTTAAGCATCTCTTAGTTTCAGTCAGATATTTTTCTTTTTAAAACTTACAGAACAGAGTGACTTTGTTAATTTGGCCAAACATCAGGAGAAAATAGCACAGCTTTTATTAACTGTGTTCCAGTTACTATCTCTGGCCTGTGGTTAGAGTTCTATGAGTAAGCTGATGGTGCAGTAGCAAGTGCCCTCGAGAATGCCCATGTCCTGGAACACATGGTTGATCTGGACGTGAGAACACTGCTGATGCTTCTGAGCCCTTGTCTAATTCTCATGGGGAGTGGGTATGTGGGTGTAGTTTAATCAATCTAATCAAGCTCAGTGCCCCAATGTCTAATAAAAGAGTGACTGTGATGAGAAATGTGTGAAAAGATAGGTCAGAGTTACAAATTGTTAAGAACAAATAAGTTTAAAAACTGAAAGTCATTGAACTATCAACATGTATGTACATATTAATTACCTAGTTCTTTTTTTTTTAGCACTATGCATTGTCTTCTGGGCCTGAACAATTATAGTTAATGTGAAATAAGTGCTCATTTGCCAAGCATCTTATTGTACTCTCTTCAATCCTTAACACAACGTCAAGAACAATAATAGACATCATTGTCTCCAATTTTTTTTTTCTTGACACAGGGCTCTGTGTATCCTTAGCTATCTTGGAACTCGCTCTGTAGAGTAGGCTGGCCTCGAACTCACAGAGATCTTCCTGTTTTCTGCCTCCCGAGTGCTGGGATTAAAGGTGTGTGCCACTGCCACCTCACATTATCTCCATTTTAAAAAGAAATAGAGGCTTAGAAATTTGAGTAACTTTTCCCTAGATCACAAAGTGTCTAAGGGAATCCATAAAATGCTGAATTGGAAGCCATCATACAAACTCACAGGACCTGGTGCCAGTGCGAGCAATCCCTGTGCATGCCGCCTCGTCTCAGGCTCTGTGAGTTTGTATGGCCTTGCTCATTCTGATTTAGAGGGCCTTGAGTTGTTGTTTTTTATGTTATCTCCTTTGGCTCTTACTCTTTCTTCCTCCTCTTCCGTTGGGTTTCCTGAGCTCCGAGGGGAGGAATTTGATGGAGACCTCCCATTTAGGACTGTATGTTCCAAGGTGTCTCTCTGCATAATGTCTGCCTCTGGGTCTCTGTATTTGGAAACATAGCATTCTATGGGCAGAAAAGTTTTCTATGGACTGATTATTTGAACAGTTGTTTAGACATAATCTAGTAGGATTAAGAAGAGAGATTGGAAGTAATGTTACAGCACATTTGTTGCCAATTCAGCTGTGCAATCTTAGACACAGGCAGTACTAACAGGGTGATTGGAATGGAATGTGAGACTTGCACCTATGAGGAATTTTGATGTTAATGTTTGATTACTGACTGAATTCAGAAAAAGGAAAAAGACAAGTTCTAGGTGTCACTAAAGTTTGGGCACCACAGGATTATAGTAATGGTAGGTATATTATTAAAAGCAGGGAATGGAAAAGCTGACATACTTTGTTCATGGACATCACCAGGTTTTAGAATTTGATCTAACCGTGGTCAACTGGAGATGTTTTAGGAGCCAAAACCAAGAAGATGCAGTTTTTACAGGGATAAATGTAAATTCCTACAGTTAGGTTAAGAAAGAAATTCATTGCACAAGTCCAGGATGTGGGTTATATATTTGACAGTTAACCTAGGCTTGTTGTTGTTATTCTTGGCCATGCAGGGGGCTGTTTATGCACAAGTAATGTGTCTCATTGTCAATAATATATGGCATGTTAGGCTACATTAATGAAAGTGTACTCCTATGCCAAAGATTCCACCATCCCTAGCATTTGTGTTGTGAATTAATTGTTTTTTTCATTCTAGGCACTGTGTTTTCTGACAGGAGCACTCACAGTGATTATAAAGTGGCCAGTGTGGCCAAAGGGTCTTAAGGAAAATAAATGGTTAAGGGAAAGATACATCAATTTCAGAGAGTCTAATAACAACTCTTCAACATATTTCAATATTATGTAAGAGGACTGAGAATAAAACTGTTGTTTATGATGGCTCTGGGAAGAACTGGGTAAGAGGTACAGAGAGCTAGAACTTAATCATAAAAAGTAACAGATTGTCAGTGAGATGGTTCAGCAAGGAAAGGTACTTGCCACTAAGCCTGACAGCCCACGTTTGATCCCTGGGATTCGTGTACTAGAAGGAGAGAAATGATTCCAGATAGTTCTTCTATGACTTTCACAATGACACTGTTACATGTGCACCCACCCCTAATTAATTAAATTTAGTACACAATTAAAAAATAATGGATGGAAGATAGATATTAATGACAAAAGAGCTATCTGTTGCATGTTGTGTTCACCAGGAAGGTCTATAGCCAAAAATAAAACAACAAAATTTCCATTTTAAAAAATAATATTTTTGGAGTTATAAACTATTTCTTCTCTTTCTTCTTTCCTCCTTACAACCCCACTCACTCTCAAATTCATGACCTGTTTTTCTTATTACATACACACACGGTGCATGTGTAGAATGCAACTTGGAGCAGTTTTCTCCCCCACCACCTTGTGGTCTTGGAAATTGAGCTTGACTAGGCATGCTTTTCAGCAAGTGCTTTTACCCAGAGCCATTCCCTGCTGTCACAGTCACTAATGACTTTTGTGTTGAAAAATCCGGTGGTTATTTCTTATGTTTTGATTTCATTTCATGGTCTCCTGGTATTTGACTTAAAACTTCCTTTTTAGAAGAGTTCATTTTCTTTCCTCGTGACTTCTGTGACACTGATTTTGGAAAGCCTTAGACACAGACTTCTGTAATTTACTAAGGCAGTTCTGTTGGGGATATCACTCTCTATGTATGTATGTATGTATGTATGTATGTATGTATGTATGTATGTATTCACACACACAGGGAAGGAATGGGGCTGTTAAAGCAGTGAAGAGTCCAGACAAAGATATGTGGTGACAGTGAGTTAAACTGGTAATATCGCTCTCTATGTATGTATGTATGTATGTATGTATGTATGTATGTATGTATGTATTCACACACACAGGGAAGGAATGGGGCTGTTAAAGCAGTGAAGAGTCCAGACAAAGATGTGTGGTGACAGTGACTTAAACTGGTAATATAGACTAACATAGCTGCAGACTCTGTACTACGTCTTTCCCCTCATATTATGAATATATTTTAACCCTCCCTGAAAAATAAGTTGACTATGATGGCAATAATATTGTTGCAACTTGCACTCAAGAACACATTCAAAAGATTACATACCATGACCAAGTTGGTTTTATCCCAGGAATACAAGATTGATTCAGAAATTATCCAAATCAGTAAGTATAGCATAACACATAAACACAAAAATCACATGACCATCTCAGTAGATGAAGGCAAGGATTTTGACAAAGTTCAACATCCTTTATGGTAATGCTCTGAGGAATCCAGGACTACAAGGAATGTGTCCTCTCCCTCTCCCTCTCCCTCCCTCTCTCTCTCTTTCTTTCTTTCTCTCTCTTCCTCTTTCTAAAGACAGGGCTTGTCTGTAGTGTTGGAGCCTGTCCTGGAACCTGCCCTGTGGACCAGGCTGGCCTCAAACTCACAGAGATCTGCCTGCCTCCTGAATGCTAGGAATAAAGGTGTAAACATGCATCACCACTGCCCTGCACATGTTAAGAGTTATGTATAAAAATCCATAACTGATATTACAAAATGAGAAATTGGGATTTCTTCTAAATTCAGGAATGAGGCCAGAACAGTTACTTTTATTCTTATTTAATATAGTGCTCAAACACTTTTAAAAGTTACTATTTTTTCATTGTTATTTGAGACAGGATTTCATTGTGTAGCCCTGACTGGCCTGGAACTCACTAAGTAGACCAGGCTGGTTTCAAACTCATAGTATTCATTTGCCTCAGCTTCTCAAGTACTGGGATTAAAGGGAGGTAAGTCACCATTCTTGGCCCAGTTCTTGAAATCTTAACAGAGCAAAAAAAAAAAAAAAAATGAGAGAAAAATTAAAGAGGTATAAATAGAAAAGGAAGAAGTCAAAATATACATGATCCTATGCTTAAAATACCCTTAATGACTGACTCCACCAAAACCTCTCAGGAACTGAGATACTTACAGTTAAGGAAATAGTCAAAATGAAGAGATAGCTTACTTAACACTAAAAAATTCTTCACTAACTACATGAAACATGGGATAGCATCTAATATATAAAGAGCTTTAAAATCAGGCATTGGGACACCAAATCAAACCAGTTTAATTGACTAACGAACTCAACAGACACTTCTCAAAAGATCAGTAAGTGGCCAGTAAAAATTTGGAAAGTCTTCAGAAAGTATGGAAATGAAGGCTGCTTATGAGTTCAGCTTTCCTCTCTCTAGGACTGATTCTGTTGGTGGGAGTGTAAAATGGTGTAGCCATTATGAAAATGCATATGGAGGGTTTTCAAAGAAGAAAGAACATAAATAGTGTGTGTCCCTGTTGTATCACTTCTTGATATATACCTGTCAAGACTGTAAATGAACACAGTACAGATTTATTGCACATCCAGGGTGATTCCTGCACTGTTGACAGTAGTTCAGAAAAATGGAACTATCACATCTGCTCTCACATGCAGAATCTAGGTGTGTGTGTGTCTGAGAGAGACAGAGAGAGAGAGAGAGAGAGAGAGAGAGAGAGAGAGAGAGAGAGAGAGAGAGAGAGAGAGAGAGAGAGAGAGAGAGAGAGAGAAGTATGTGCAGGGGAGACCATAGGGAAGCAGAAGTTGTAAGGAAGGAGCAGCTGGGCGTGGGGAGGTGATAAAATAACACGTAATATAGGAGAAGAGAAAATAAGTGCCACAATAGGGCTAGAGGAAGACAGAGGGCATGACAATGCCCTAGTGCTCTGTGTGCTAGCTTAAGAAAATGGATAAAAATAGTATCTTATGTTAAGTTCTATAGATCTCAACAGTCTTAATTTACTGTGCTTCCCATGTGGAGGAGGAAGATAATGTACAGATACCTTAACTCTCTGTTTACAGTTGACATTACTAAATCTGGGAAACAACCTTTTAGAAGAAGTTCCTGAAGAAATTAAATACCTTACCTCCCTGAAGAGGCTTCATCTATTTGGAAACAGAATTTGTAGAATTGCTACTGGAGTCTGTGGTAAGTTAGTTAAGGAACACTATAGCATTGCATTTAACCCCTTGTGTTTAATAATTTGATACAGAAATGAAAAAGAATTCCACTACAGAAATCAAGGAATTTCTCAAGCAGTACTTTTCAGTATTTAAAAACAAAAACAAACTTTTTCCTGGGTAGTGGCACACACCTTTATTTTTTAATTAATTTTTATTTAATAACAATGTTATTTTACATACCAATCCCAGTGTCCTCTCCTGTCCTGTCATCCCCCCCCCATTCAGTCTTATGCTGGTTTCTCAGTTGTCAGACTGGGGTCTGTGAGCTCCCATTTGCTCAGGTCAACTGTTTCTTTGGATTCCAGAAGTTTGGCTCAGTGTTTAGTTGAGAATCTCTGCTTCAGCTTCCATCAGCTACTGGATGAAGGCTCTAGGATGGCATTTAAGATAGTCATCAATCTCACTATAGGGAAAGGGCATTTAAAGTAGCCTCTCCACTATTGTTTAGATTCTTAGTTGGAGTCATCCTTGTGGGTCCCTGGAGCTTTCCCTAGTGCCGGATTTCTCGTTAAGTCCATAAGGTTTCTATCTTGCTCTTGCTCTCTCTGTTCTTCCCCCAACTTGGACCTTCCTGATCCCTCATGTTTTCCTCCTCCCTTCCATTCTTCCCTCCTCTTTCTTCTACCTCCCTTCCCCCCAATACTCCCAATTTACTTAGGAGATCTTGTCCCTTTCTTCTTCTCCAGGGGACCATGTATGTCTCTCGAAGGTCTTCCTTGTTTCCTAACTTCTCTGGGATTGTGGATTTTAGGTTGGTATTCCTTTGCTCTATGTCTGATATTCACTTATGAGTGAGTACATACCATGTTTTGATTTGCATTTCTCTGATGGCTAAGGATTTTGAGGACTTTCTTATGTGTCTTTCAGCCATTTTGGACTCCTCTATTGAGAATTCGATCTGTGCCCCACTTTTAAATTGGATTATTTGGTGTTTTGGTGACTAGTTTCTTGAGTTCTTTGTATATTTTGGAAATCAGCCCTCTGTCAGATGTGGGGTTGGTGAAGATCTTTTCCCATTTTGTGGGCTGCCATTTTGTCTTGTTGACTGTGTCCTTTGCCTTACAGAAACTTCTCAGTTTCAGGAGGTCCCATTTGTTAATTGTCAATCTCATTGTCTCTGCTACTGGTGTTATGTTCAGGAAGTGATCTCCTGTATCAGTCCATTCAAGGGTACCTCCCACTTTCTCTTGTAAGAAGTTCAGTGTGGCTGGATTTATGTTGAGCTCTTTGATTCATTTGGACTTAATTTTTGTGCATGGAGATAGATATGGATCGATCCACAGTCTTCTACATGCCAGCCTCCAGTTATGCTAGCACCATTTGTTGAAGATGCTTTCTTTTTTCCATTATATAATTTTAGCTTCTTTCTCAAAAAACAGGTGTTCGTAGGTATGTGGATTAATATCTGGGTGTTCAGTCCGATTCCATTGGTCTACCTGTCTATTTTTTGTGCCAATACCAAGCTGTCTTCAGGATTATAGTTCTATAATAGAGCTTGAAGTCAGGATGGTGATGCCTCCAGGCAGTTCCTTTATTGTACAGGGTTGTTTTGGTTATCTTGGGCATATCCTTTTGTTTTTCCATATAAAGTTGAGTATTGTTCTTTCAAGGTTTGTGAAGAATCGGGTGCATGCCTTTAATCCCAGTGCTCGGGAAGCAGAGACAGGTGGGTATCTGTGAGTTCGAGGTCAGCCTGGTCTACAGAGTGAGTTCCAGAATGGAATAAAGCTACATAGAGAAATCCTGGATCGAAAAACAAAAAGAAAAAAATATATCTTTTGAAAATTTTATGTATAAATATAATGTGCTTTGATCAATTCCAGCCTCCATGCCCTGTCCTCCAAACTGTTGTGTTTTATAACCATTTCCCCACAGAGCAGATTCACCACAGTCAGAAGTCTATCCCAAAGCTAAGTCAACTGTAAACTTTCTTTAGGATTGTGATAGACAAAAATGGTTCAGTTTTTTTCTGAGCAAAGACATGAGACAAAACAGACCCACAGCTGAATAAACTGCTTCTCTTCTGCTGGTATTTTTAATATTTTGAATTGGGTGCTATAATTTTCAAGTAGGAGCATTGGGGAAAAGCAATTTGACCCTTTTATTTGTATGTTTCAAATAAAGATTAAGCCAAAATGCGCTTTCATTCCTAAATGGTAACAATTTCCAGGAGCTAGTTGCATGGTGGTAGCCCTGGATGATGAAGCTGGATATGGGGATTAATGGAGGAATTTATCATTGAGAATTGTGTCATGTGTGTGTCAGGCATTGTGGGATGATTATACTCCAGTGGAAAACAGAGCCAGTCGCGACTGTTCAAAAGAAAGAAAGGCTGTGGCAAGACAGAGACAGAAAGGCTGCCCATGTGAATGCCGCGGGGAACTTGGATGAGAAAGCGTACTACATCCTGCTTCTGACTTTTAGTTCTTAGGTCCAGTTAGTGATGAGCCTGGTTCTCTTCATGTCCTCAGATGCCATGGCTTAGCTCTGTAATGATGTGATATATTTCTTCTTTTTGCCTTAGCCAGTTTATGAGATTATCTGTCTTCAGCAAGCAGCAGAACCATGGCCAAGGCAAGAATCCAAAAGAAGTCAAAGGTGAATAGAAAGACTAAAGCTTATTTCCTGAGGGATGGCTAAAGTGGCATATTGTTTTCTGACAGATGGCTTGCAAGAGTTGATTATGCTTAATCTGAACAACAATCAACTTACGAGTCTTCCTCAAGAAGTTGGCAGGTAATTTTATTTATAGTGAAGCTTGGGTAAACATTCCATGCCTCTCCTTGCCCAAACTCCATCCCATTCCTTTGATGGTGTTAGCCCTAGCATCAAGTAGTGGGCTACTTGAGTGGAGGTGGGAGGGTGGGAAGGTGGGGAGTGGGAGGGCTACAAATAGCATAGGGAGATCAGATGTGTGAAGCAAGCCACTGAAGTTTTTTTTCTCTTTTGTGTGTATATGGTGTATGCATGTGTGTACACATGTGTATGGTAGTATGTGTAGAGACCACATTCATGACGTTGGGATGTCCTCCCCAGTCTCTTTCCTCTTTATTTATAGAGACGGGGTCTCTCACTGCACTTGGAGCTCACCCTTTGTGCTAAACTGGGTGGAAGTAAGTTCCAGGGATCTGCCTATGTCTGACCCTAGCTCTGGGGTTACAGACATGTGCCACTGTGCCAGACTGAAGGAGGTACACATTCAGGTCCTCATGCTTGTAGAGCAAGCATTGTACCAACAAAACCATTGCTCAATCACTAAGTTTAAGCAAATAATTCCTAAACCACTTGAAAGAAATGAGAAATAGTGGGTAATGGAAGAGTAAAGTTGGGGTATAAAAACAGAAAGCCTTAAGCTGATATTGATAGGCCAGCAAAGTTCTTGGGGCATGCTCAAACACAGATTGGGCACAATAAATTTTATTTCACTGGTGCCATAAACCATTTTGAGATCGATGGGAAAAGGTCATATAAAAGCAAAGGACTTAAAATTACAATGTCATTTTATTAAATAAAAACCAACACATTTTATTATCATTAGCAACAACCAAAATATGTTTTTCCTTATCCTGAACATCTGTGCAGATAGGCCGTCTAAATAGTGTTTCTGGAGCCACTGAAGGCCTGTCCTTCCGAGGAGTATGCACTCTGGAGCTGTTTCTCTGGTACATGGAGAGAACTCTGCTTAGGTTGACTTTGGTGATTCTCCATTGCACATTGAACAGAAACATACGCATTACAGAGTAAGAACAACTACAGACTTCAAACAAAATGTGACACTTTGAGCATGGGCACAGAATTGTCTGTCCTCAGAGCCTAATGTGTTCCATTTCACTTGTCTATACTTATCCCCAAATCCAGCAGCTCACAACAACCTATAACTTCAGAACAAGTGATTTGCCTTCTTCTGGCCTCTACGGATACCCAAATGCATGTAATGCACAAGCATGAAGTCAAGTGTAATCAATGAGATTTTTGCTATTATTATCATGAATTGGTTTTTATTGTGGCTATTTTATGCTGTTCTCACTCATTTCTTTCCAGAGGTGAAAGACTACTTTGTATATGAAATTTGGAAAAGCATTAGGTTTGTGTAGTGTGGCATCTCCTCTTGCCCTTCCAGAAATCAAGCAGTTGCTTCAGCAGTAAAGGCTATGAATTAATAAGCCTAGCTAAAAAGGAGGGCAAGTAGGGTCCATGTGTGTCAACTCTGTGCTGATGCCTGGCTTCTGTTCACCTGTATTCTCAATTTGTTCAGAACCCAGGAAAGGCAGAGAAGAATTTGTTGGTTAAGATAATTTCAGCTTCATAGCTCATGAAATTGGAGTCTAGATAACTGTTGTGAGTGGCAATGTATAGCTACACAGCTGTATAGAAGACAGCAGAAGCCTCCTGCACACAGGACCTCTGAAACAGAAAGGGAGAGGGGGAAAGACCCCCTCACCTGCCACTCAGCCAAGCTGTTTTGTGAAGTTATCTGTGAACCCTTTATGGAGGAGGGGAGCAAGAGAATTTGCAAGTGCACCCTTCTCCGGGTCCCTTTGCAAGGTGCTCTTCCTGCCTTCTTGAAAGAAGGATGTTAGGCTCCTGATCCCCCCTCCCCAGCTGCCCTACTTACCCAAACACAAGATGGACACAATTGCAATAAGCTGTGAGCTTGTTATAGAGTTTGGAGGAAAAAATAACAAAGGAAAGCCAAATCTAAATGGAAACCCCTAGTGCTCAACTGAAACAATGACTCTAACTGAGCAATGAAGAACAAACTCCATGTTTTTTGCTGTAAGACATAGCCCTGCATTTTTATTCCTTGTTTACTTGTTTTTGTTTTTAGGTCCCAAGCAAAGTGTCTCCTCCCTCCTGTCCTTCCAGTCCCTCCTCCATCTCTCCTTCCCACCCCATCTACTCCTTCTCCTCTGTTTCTCTTCAGAAATGGGCAGCCTTCCATGGACATCTGCCAGTCATGGTATATCAAGCTGTAGCGAGACTAGTCACCTCCTCTCCCATTAAGGCTGAATGAGATACTCTTGTATGAGAAAAGGTCCCGAAAGCAGGCAATAGAGTCAGAGACATTCCCTGCTCCGTTAAGATTTCCACAAAAAGACCAAGTTACATAACTGTAGCATATATGCATAGGGCTAGGTCAGTCCCATGCAGGCTCCCTAGTTGTCAGTTCAGTCTCTGAACCTCCTTTAGCCCAGGTTAGTAGGTCCTATGATCCTTTCTCCCCTTCTTCTGCAGGATTCCCTGAGCTCTGCCTAATGTTTGGCTGTGGGTTTCCATCAGTTGCTAGGTGAAGCCGCTCTGATGACAGATGGTCTAAGCACCAATCTATGAGTAGAGTATATTGTCATTAGGAATAATTTCATTGACTTTGTTGCGCACTTTCTTAAGTGTCTCTCAGCCATTTTAGACTCCTCTATTGAGAATTCTTTAGTTCTGTATCCCACTTTTAAATTGGATCTTTTGGTGTTTTGGAGACTTGCTTCTTGAGTTCTTCGTAAATTTTGGAGATCAGCCCTCTGTCAGATGTGGGCTTGATAAATATCTTTTCCCATTCTATGGGCTGTCATTTGTCTTGTTGACAGAAGCTTCTCAGTTTCAGGAGGTCCTTTTTATTAATTGTCAATCTCAATGTCTGTGCTACTGGTGTTATGTTTAGGAAATGTTCTTCTGTATCAATTTGTTCCCACTTTCTCTTATTAAGAGGTTCAGTGTGGCTGGATTTATGTTGTGGTCTTTGATCCATTTGGACTTAAGTTTTGTGCATGGTGATAGACATGGATCTATATGCTGTCTTCTACATGCCAGCATCCAGTTATGCCAGCACCATTTGTTGAAGATTGAAGATGCTTTCTTTTTTCTATTGTATAATTTTAGCTTCTTTGTTAAAAAGCAGGTGTTTGTAGGTATGTGGGTTAATATTAGTGTGTACAATTCGATTCCATTGATCCACCTGTCTATTTTTGTGCCAAAACCAAACTGTTTTTAGGACTATAGCTCTATAATAGAGCTTGAAGTCAGGGATGGTGATGCCTCCGGATGTTCCTTAGTTGTACGTTGTTGTTTTGGCTATGCTGGTTCTTTTGCTTTTTCATATAAAGTTGAGAAGTGTTCTTTGAAGGTCTGTGAAGAATTGTGCTGGGATTTTGATGGGGATTGCATTGAATCTTTAGATTTGGCAAGATTACCATTTTAACTGTGTTGATCCTACCTATGCAAGAGTATGGAAGTTCTTTCCATTTTCTGGTATCTTCTTTAATTTACTTCTTTAAAGACTCAAAGTTCTTTTTTTTTCTTTTTTTTTATCATTTTTTATTTTAATTTTAAATAGCTTGTTTTACATGTCAATCCCAGTTCCCTCTCCCCTTCCCCCCTCCCACCCTATTGCCAAATCCTTCCACATAGGGGATATATAGAGTCTGTCATTTTACTCTTGGTAGGGTCAAGGCACTCCCCTAAGAGTCCAGGCTGAGAGAGCATCTCTCTTTGTGCTATAGGCACATGAAGACAGTTTGTATACCAGGGATAGACACTGATCCACAGCTCAGGGCCCCATAGGTTGCCCAGGCCTTCTCACTGACACTCACATTTGGGGGGTCCAGATCAGTCCCATGCTGGCCTCCCCACTGTCGGTCTGGGGTCCAAGAGCACTCCCCTGTTCAGATCAGCTGTTTCTGCTGGTTTTGCCAGCCCATTCTTTGCCAATTTGCTCATCACTCCTCTCTCTCTGTCACTGGGTTCCTTGGGTTCAGTTCAGTGCTTAGTTGTGTGTTTGCCTCTGCTTCCATCAGTCACAGGATGAAGGCTCCCGGATGGTTATAGACATCAAGTTCATTATCAGGAATGGGCATTCGAGGTGGTCCCTCCACTATTGCTTAGCTTGCCAATTGATGTTATACCTTTAGGTCACTCGAGGTCACTCTGGTGCCTGATCTGTCTTTGATCCTATGATTCCCTCTTCCCCCTATTCTACCCCCACCCCCTCAACTTCCTGTTCCCCCATGACCAACTCCCTTCCTCTTTACCCCCTCTATTCTTCCCAGGTCCCACTCCCCCCACCCTCGCCGTGTTCCCCATCAGAGGATCTTGTCTCCATCCTCTTCTCTTGGGTACTATGCATATATGCATATCTTTTAGGTTCTTTCCTGTTTCCCAGACTCTCTATCTGTGGAAGTGCAGACTGGCACTATCCTGATCCATATCTAGAATCCATATATGAGTGAGTACATACCATGTTTGTCTTTTTGCGACTGGGTTACCTCACTCAGGATGGTTTCTTCCAGTGCTATCCATTTCCCTGCGAATTTCAAGATTCCATTGTTTTTTTCTGCTGAGTAATACTCCATTGTGTAAATGTACCACATTTTCTCTATCCACTCTTCAGTTGAGGGGCATCTAGGTTGCTTCCAGGTTCTGGCTATTACAAACAATGCTGCTATGAACATAGTGGAGCAGATGCCCTTGTTGTATGAACCTGCCTCATTTGGATAAATGCCTAAGAGTGGAATTGCTGGGTCTAGTGGTAGATTAATTCCCATTTTCCTGAGGAATCTCCATACTGATTTCCAAAGAGGCTGTATGAGTCGGCATTCCCACCAGCAGTGGAGGAGTGTTCCTCTCTCTCCACATCCTCTCCAGCATAAATTGTCTTCGGTGTTTTTGATTCTAGCCATTCTGACAGGAGTAAGATGGTATCTCAGAGTTGTTTTGATTTGCATTTCCCTGATGGCTAAGGATGT